CATAGATAGTAAAGAAAGCGGAATTTCAAACGGTTCAAAATGTCCATTTTTTGACGATCGAAATGGGATACCTGAATAGCTCCTTGACGTAGTGCAGTGCTGAGATTGTAGTACTCAGAGGAATGATGCATTTGATGAAAGGACCAGAACACGCCAGCTTCTGAAAAAAAGGAGTTCGTGCATAGAGCAAGTTTTTACGGATGCTTTTCTCTTTTTCCAATCCCTATTCGAAGAGATGTCTAGTTTCGATTAATGATTTCCTGCACTAAATGCTAGCTATGGAAATGGAACCCATTCCAGTTCTCAGAGTAAGGGTCGACTCTACCCAAACCCGTCACACTTACCATGAATGGCTCTGTGACCGAGATAGTAGGCAAGATCCTGAGTGAAAAAGCAGAGGATCCATGTAGCAGCTGAGTCCTTTGGCAAATCTATGATATGTAGTCGATCGTATACCATAGGATAGAATGATGCTGACAGATAACGTCCTCCGACCCTAAATAAGAGAAAGAAGGATCAACTCGTTAGATTGAGCTAGGCAGTACTTCATTCTGCCCTTTCTTCCAACATCCAGCAATGAAAAATGAAAGAAAGGGGCCGCTAGAGAGGGAAGATGTTCTGAGTAGCCGGTCGCAGATCTAGCAAGAAACAGAATTGAAAATATGGTCGAAGGAACTGTCACGTAGAGAATGGGAAGGAGTCGGATGGTTGGCAGCAGGGTACAGTGTGACAGGTGAGACCAAAAAAAGTGGGAAGCTGCTGAAGAAAAAAAGGGAAAAAAGAATGAGGAAAGGGTGAATTCTGGAAGTAATTGGAGAGTTCTAGAGATGAAGGGCAGTACGACAAGATCGACGAAGACCTTGGAAGAATGTAGGTCGGACCTAGCTAGGACCTCAATTTTAACCCATTTTTCATAACCATCTAATTCCGAAGGCTCGAATGGGCCTCAAACACTATTCAGACGAACCAAAAAACCTACTTCATGAGAAGCGACAAAATTCCGGCATTAATTGACGTGACCGTATCATTGAATGCATATTTCTTCTCATCCAGTAACAAATACTCCAGTACGACTAACAGCAGCATCCATGTCGTAGCCTGAATTCCTTTTATCATCCTAATTGACTATTTCAGAAAGCAATATTAAAACAGTGAGGTGGGCCTTATCCGATTGTAGCTACCCCTGCCCTAGGCTTAAAAAAGAAGTACTCCCATCCAGATCCGCAATGATTTCCACGACCAACCTCGCCAACTACCGGATTGTTACCGATGTCGCCAGACTCATTAAACTTACCGGTTCCAGAAAATTCGGGATTTCTTCTACAGTTGGATAAATTGTTTCATTTGGTGTTACCAGGTAGAATAGATATCGTAGATTAAGCGGATTTAAATCCGATGACAATTTGTAAAGAAGGTTGCTCATCTGTAAAGAATTCGCATCACAATTAGGTTTATCAACTCATTCCATACGTTCGGGGAGCTTCTGATAAGAATGGCTGGCCGAAGCAGCGATGCTGCTTTCACAGTTTCACAGAAGAATTTAGTTGTCAAAGTCATGCATTTTATAGATCAATAATCGTGAATTTAATTGTCAAATTCGTGCGGAGCATAGATCAATAATCGTACAAAAAATAATAATAGAATGCCATTAGAAAGTTGTCCCAAGTTTTCAAGCTAGGCTTGCTTGAGACATAAGAATGCAAAAATTATACCACAGTCCTTCTTGAAATCTCATGTACTGTCATAGTTTTATTTTAAAATTCAAATCGAAAAAACAAAAAAAACTGCTAATTGGGCATCCTCTCTCTTGTTCAACCCTTTAGCAATGCTGATATGGCCGTACTGATGGCCCCTAAGCAAATTGAATTTTGTTACCTTGTCCTTTTCAAAGTTTAAAAAAAACAGATGACTCTAAAGATGAAAAGAGGATAACGAGCATGGCATAATCGTCGTCAGCTGTTCAATAAGTTCCCAGAACGAAAAAACAAGCCAGAGCTGTTCAAATATTGAAATTCCAATGAAAATCCGATAAAAACCACAATAACTAAAAGGCCATAAAATATTCGATCACAAACAGTCATAGAAAGTCTTTTGAAAGCGAATTTATCTTCAACAGGGTCTGTGGCATTGAATAACTCAGTGCATGTAGTTATGGCTGACGGCTAAGCGGGCTTGACAAAGCACCTCAGGTGCCTAGGATATACTTGCTAAGGCGATAACTGAGAAGGCTAGGTGATAAATCTCAAGTGCCTACACTACCTACAGACACATTGAGAGGACCTGCGAGGGAAGTTCGAGGTGACCTGGTGTTCCTTCCTTAGATATGAGAAGGTTCGCCTAGGCCGGAAAAACCACTTGGACTAAGGTTTTCGTCTGAAGCCACTCAATATCCTTAAGATCATAAACTCCACTTAAATGGTTGCTGGGCAATACCGACAAGTAGAAGATGGTCCGATTGAAGAGGTAGGCTACTACTCCCTGGGTCGAACTTATAGCAAGGTATGGGGCTCTGTGACTATGAACCTGGATTCGATCGGTAGTGGAAAGCCAGTGGAGTAAGAGTAGTTCGCAAAGGGGGAAGAGTTATGGGAATTCAAGCAATGCTAGAGGCTCTACGAATTCTGCGATTGCTGAGACCTGTAGCGACCAAGGCTTGGTGTGAAAAAGGGAGGCACTCGTGAAAACAGTGAGATAGGACAAAGAACGGCCATGATAAAACTGGAAGGCATGTTCAGGTTACGCTTATGATGACATCAACAGGTAGTGATAACGCCTAGGCCCGATTACATCATTTCAAAGGATAGTTAAGTTTGGTCACAAATATTTTTTCAAGGTTATAGAAACACCATGAAAGGTTCTACTTATGAGTATAAGCTGAGATATCGAATGGGTTGAATTGTGACTTTAAGGGAGGTAAACGAGAAATTTGAAGAAAACTACGTTCCATCATGTTCAATGTGCTTGAGGAGCTCTCTCATAAGTGTTTATAGATAAGTTACCATTTCTACCCTCCTCTCATCCCAGCTAAGTTAGTTACTTGTTACTCTCACTGCCATGCTACACCCATTCAGGAATATCAAATAGAACGTGAGAAAAGAATCAAAGTTCTTGGAAATCAGTTCTTGCAGTCGCTTAGAGGAATTAAGACTTTTTCAACAGCTGATAAGGGCTCTATGTTCACAGTTGGACTAACTTCGTAGTTACGAATTTCGAGGAGAACATAGGGCCAGTGTAAAGTGGAAATGTGAGCGACAAATGTTTACTCTGAGATCTCAAACACGACCAGGATTTGCTGAAAACACGTCCTAATCTATATCTGAGGAGATTCTATGAATATCATCAGTGCTTAAAGGATTCCAGAAGGATTGAATCTCATTGAAGTGGACCACTAGGTCAGATAGTTTTACTGCTGTGGTTCTATACAAGTCACTGCTAAAAGTTACTGGGAAGGGGTAAAATCCTGAATATTCACTCCATAATACTAAAAGAAGATAGTTAAGAAGGAAAAACAGGGAATGAAAAAAGAAAAAGAAAAGAAACGAAAAGAAAAGAAGAAAAGAAAGTAGTATAGGATCACTATGGAATAAGCTCATGTTGCAACATTGGCATAACGATTCCATCTCAAACTTACTAAGGCATAGAATATCATAAGCCACTATGGGATAGTACGAAATAAAGAAGAAGCTAGGTCAATACCTTTTTCGGATGCGCCATGCATTTGATTTCGGTTGGAAACATTTTGGTATAAACATGATGTAATTACGGGGTCTGACATAAATGGAACGCATAGGAAAGGAGAAGTAGAGGATCCTTCTGTTTGAATCGTTAGAAAACGTTTCGGGAGAATGATCACGATGGGTGGGCTGTGCTACACGGTCTAGCTGAAGGGAACACCTTATCAGACGATCATATCAGCCAATGAACACCACACTCGCCACTGCGAAATCACTAAATACGATCGAAGCAATAAATTTCAACGACTGAAAGGGTTTTGTCATCAAACCTGGTTGCGATAATCCTAACCGTTGCTCTTCCTCTAAACAAGAATGAAGTGAGGTGCTGTAACCGTTTTACAGCCAGCTTGTTTTCGTCTCATGTTGGACTCTATGAAGAACGTGATTGTCAAGATGATTTGGTAAAAAGGACTTGTTTTCGACCCACTAACTTGATGAAGTGAATTTGGCACTTTCTCAAAAATACCGGGTGCATCAAAGTTGTTCGACTACACTGTGGCGATAAGGTTCATCGAGTTTTTGACCTGATAGCTTCAAATACCATATTCTTCGTAATTTTTTTATATTTTATTAGTCATGCTCATAATCTTATTTCCTGTGTTATCCGGTTACCTTGAACATGACTAAGCCGTCTAATCATAGCTTTTTCATGACTGTTATCCCTAGGGACATTTAGGTGCCCTTGACTAAGCTTCGACTGGAATTGTCATAGCTGTTTGCATATCGAACAATTTGACGCAAGTTCTGTGCCTTTCTTGTACTTTTTTAGATAATGCGCTCCAATCTCACAGAACGCTGTAGCCGCGAGCGAACTTACGGACCGAATGATTTTGATTCACGTGGATGTGAGAAGAATAACAGCCTCGTCGAAGTCGAAGGGCTGACAGGAATCGGGAGACAGGCAGTAGGAACGGTTTTGTGCAATCGATCTGCCGCAGGCAAATGGTCGGCTGTCGCGGACCATTTGCCTCATTATAACGGTTCTATCGCACTTCATACAGCTCAATCGCTATGCGATTATTACTTTTGGCATGATTCTACTGTTAGTTCTTTTATTCCTGTGTTTCTTACTTGCTACTGCATTCTGCTACATTCCATCGCGCGCGACGTTGCTTTCGCCGCGACGCGACAATATCGTTCCTACTGCGCCACACCCACAGGAATCTCACTACAAAATTCAAGTTTGAAAAGGTGCGGTGAATTAACATTCCTTGAAATAAATAGTCTAGGAGGAAGAAATAGGGGGATTACCTTCTGCAAAATTGAATAGGTATCTAGGCCTCATACACTACCATACAAGGGAGTCATTACCATTCGGAACTCCCCAACCTCTCCCTCACTTGAAGAGACATTTAGGAAATCTTACTCCTCATATATATTCGGGATTAATTACCCGTTAGTTTTCGCCTGACATCATAGTATACGTGAACTATTCATTTCCCTTTCTAAGCATTACAACGTTGAATAGCAGTTTCGCAAAGATTCATTGTCCCGGATCAACTAAATACAGCCCGTAGGCGGTGGGTATTTTTAGAAGCTCTGATTAGGTAGTTGTTTTCAATGCGTACAGTTCACCTGCCTCTACTTTTCTTGGAGTTTCTTAAGTAAGCACAGGTGATTATGGCGATATTGGGAACACCTAATGTCCGCCGTGGCTATGTTTTGATAAACATCTATGAATAACCTCTAAAACTAGAGTTTATTACATTTTTATTATACGATATATCTCGAGTGTAGTAAATGTGGAATAGCCCCTGATTGTTTCTCTGAAAGCAATCCTGAATCGAACTTCTCCTAGAAACCGAACGTACTCTTTATCCTTTAATGATTAGCACGAGATTCTTACGACTGATGATCCTTAGAATTCATTAAAGAGGTGGAATGCACCTGAAAATGGCACAAGGCTTTTGGATTGAATTTGAAGGCATGAGACCATTACTATGAAGGTTCAAGTAAAGCGATTGAGCCACGTTGGTTTCCGAACTAGAAGCGAAGTGCGAACGATGGTGAGGAAAAATCAAATCCAAAAATGATTGGTCAATATACTTTTATTTACTCGGGCGAATTTCAGTCGAGGCTCCTGGCGACAACGTTATCGGGAGCACCCGGCTCGTCCCCGGGACTGCTGCTTAGTTGGAAGGGGATAAATGGGCGCAAATCTGAATGCTGAAATGCTTCCACAGTAACAATTTTTGGAAGCTTTTTGAGGATTGGCTCTGATAATGAGGGACTTCCAAGTGTAAACCGCATTTACCTGACTTCCCTAGCCAATTCATTTTGCAAGCTCTCAGAAGTAGGGGTAAAAGCGCACCTTAATAGGCTATCTAACAGCAAAGACCATCGACACGCATACCTATTTTCTAATTTTTATTAGCCGTTCCCTATATGCATACCATTTTCCCATTTCATGCATAGGAATATGTGCTAGAAAAGAAAATTCCAACGGAAACGTTAAGGAAATAAGGTGCTATGGCATTTCTCGATAAAAAAAAGTGCATAAAGCATAGCATAAAGATTATTGCCATCCTAGTGGTTCAAAAGGGTAATGGATTTATGCTTCTTTACTATACCCAGTTTCTGTAGAATGAAGGTTATGTAGAATTAAGCCTGCAAGCAGACCATGAGTGAAAAGCCATGAGTTCAGATCTGCATGATCTCGAGGAGCACCTGAAGAAAAACCTTCGAAAATTCGTTATCTTGTTACGAGTTGTTATGATTTTTTCAGACAATAGAGACCATGAAGATTCGGATACTCGCCCTAGGATCGCATAGCTCATAACCGATGTCTAACCCTGGGTTTCTGGCGATCATGTTTGACCAGATCGGACAATAACACTGAACATACATTAGTCTTTTGCAAAGTTTTATACTCGATCCAGTTTCGTCAGATTGGCCACTTGTCCTCCTTGTCGTCTATCTCTTTCGCTCCAGCTCCTATTACGTCTTTTCCGGAGAACGTCCGTTGCGCGCGTCCGTCGAAAGTAGGTCACCCCGCCCACTTCGCGCGCGACGCACCCCACTGATGTCTCGAAATGACATTACAGTACCACCAAGTGACAGTGGAGCGAGTGATTCACATTTGTCCGCATAATCTTTTCTTTGAGCTGACTGCCGTGGACCAAGCGCAAATCGTATGCCACACTGGCAACTGCGATGTCCGTCAAGTATCGCTGGCTGACCCACGGCTGCGGCGTGACCTAGTTTCGACGGACGCGTGAAACAAAGCGCATCCGTCTTTTCCTAATCATTTTAACCATGATTTTTTGCCCATCGCTTTGACAGGCCAATCGAGCTCGGCGACTCATTGAGATTGCGCTGCTTCTCGACGATTCGAGTTGGACGAGTGATACAAAGCAGAGGGCATCAAGGAGCATCTTCCGCCGCCTGCGTGCAGCTGCGCAGCGGTTTTGGTTACGTGCCATTCTTTTCCCTAGCTTCCCTGGCATTGGAGCGCAGCATGGTTCGCGCGCCTTTTTCGAATAAGCATCACATGACCCCTAGCCACCCAACTGCCCGCCCCGTGTCCTTACCCAAAGCCCCTTTTCCATGAGTTGTATATGTGACGGGTGAAAATTTGTGCATTCAAATAAGGTTATGCCGTGAATTTAACATATTCTCTGCAGAAATTCTGCAGGTTTCGGAGGATGTTCTTTGATGCCTTCCACTCTGTACCGTGACTCTTCGAGTTCTCTCATGCTAACAGAGTCACTCTCTCTTTTGGTCAGTAGATTGGTACAGCATCGCACCACTGAGTGAATTGAAATTGCTTTTATTTTGATATTTGAAGTAAACAACGCAGTGTTTGTGTTTACAAATACCACACCACCTTTGCTCTAATTAGGCAGTCCTTAGAGACTATACTGATATATCATAATAAGGACGGACATCTGGATAATTAAAAACAACGCTATTTTCGAGGCACCATAGTGGCATAAGGACATCATAGAATTGGAAAAGGGTAAATTTTCATGGAAAATCCGGTAAGATAATATTTCTGACCAAAGCAGGAACGAAGCCTTTCGTAGGAGTTTTTCCTAGTCCTAAATCACGAATGTCTATAGATATCTATGAGAACGTACACAGACGATTTGCCTACCCCCTCCATCCCAAAAAATTAACCCTCGATTGATGACAGTTGCTTTTTTTTTCAGATATAGACATCGAATATAGAGATTGGAGACCTCTGGCGCTGCACAATTCCCTTTACAGCACCTACTTGATATTTGATATCTTCAACTTTGCATCCACCTTCCTGTACCCTACTGAGAGTCTCTCTTTAGAAGTGGCAGACAAACTTTAGTTGGAGATGAGCTCCATCTATGCAAATAAAAGTACAAAAGTCAAAAATGATCGGTCTATTTTGACGTCACCGTTCTTCTTTTCCTCCTTCAACAGCGAGTGACGATCAGGGCTAACGCATAGCTTGACACCATAGGAAAACCTCGTCCCTGAACCTCTCCCGCAAAGAGGATTGATAGCAAAGTATAATAGTGGGAAGTCGTTTTTCCCCTTGGCTTGTCCTGCTCTGTGGAAATTGGTGCTGGGATATTCCATTTCGTTTAATAACGTTCTGTCACCCACTTTTGAGGCAATTTTCTGAAAAAAATGATTTCAGTTGAAACTCTCCCTGAATTTACATCCAGGAAACCCAAGTCAGAGTTCAGGAAGTCTAGGAAATTACAGATGTGAAAGATATGACGGATTCTTCTCATCATCATTCGAGCGCAAATCGCGACTTCTAGAAATGAGCTTTGAAGCCAGCAGACATTTCATTGGCCATTCATGTAATCTGAATCGGAATCTCGTCATTTTCTTCTCCTTCGAATGAGAATCTAACCCTAATTACTCTCAGTTACTGAGAACACATTCCTTTTCAGCTGTTTCTTTTGAATATTTCTGAATGAAGCTTATTTCACGCCATGTAAGCAAAGTATTATCTTAAGGAATGAGAGATATCATCAGCTTTCATTGTACCTTTATGCATGGATAAGCTGATGTGCCGCTACCTTCCCCTCAGGATCAGGTGATTCAATCCCTTGAAATAGCCTGACCACTATAATAAATGAATTACTATCCATATAGTCTCCGGTTACTAGTTATTATTAAAGACAGTGGGACAGGTGTGGAGTAGTGGCCAACGGCGTACAAGAACTTCGGCATATTCCGAAATCAGATCTTGCTTGAAAAAGTCATTCATTTGTCTAGGGTAATTCGTACAAGGCATAAGTCTGGGAGGTATGAAAGCACAGTCCACGGTTATCAGAAATTGCAACTGATATCCTTACAGTATAGCCTTCTGGAGCCTTCTATTAGATCAGAAAGAGCCTGGGATGGAGCGATTTAGTAAGAGAGCAGTGTAGGCAATCAAATCTTTGACAATTGTGACGTAATTCGACATCTCATTCTACTGGCTCTCTCCCCATAATCAACTTTGATTGAGTTTCCGCATATTTCTTGGTCAACGTGACTCCAGTTGATCAAATATTCACAGTAATTATTGAATTTCAAGAAATTCTTGAGGGATTTGGTGATGGATTTCTTATATTTTATCCAATAAGGACAGGTGCAAACTGAGTCTAGACAACTTTTTTTATAGTTTCAGTCGTTTTGTGAATATTCTCCGTAGCTATGGCCAATACCTGTCGACGTCAATGAGGAAAAGTGTTGCTAAAAAAAGGCTGATGGCTTAAAAAACATCGACAGAAGTGGCTGTAGATGACAGATGCGGATTGTCCCCAAACGTCAAAAATGCAGTAACATTAGCTTTCGAGGAAAAAAATTGGCAATTTTTCAGAATATAACTGAGCTTTTTCATGCATGATTGGGCTGCAACCACACAACATCGAATCCGCTTACTAACATAGCTGTCACAATGGGTTCAGAATCACTTGGGTAGCGCTGCGACCACTCTCGGAATGAGCAGCTCTCACAACTTCATTTCTGAATAGCTAGTAGTAGAAATATTGGAGAAACCAATAACTATAGGGGACTGGTCGGTTTCTTTTGGGATTTCACTGCGTTTGATTTCGTGCATATTTGTGGTGGCATTTTAACAAAGCGGTAATCATTGCCTGGGCATTTAATTGGAATATTACAGTTTGAACGAGTATAAATGGGAAGAGCGAGCACGGTCCGTCCGCCAGCTGGAAGAAATGCTGTGTGGTCCTGACACGACCAGCTGAGTCGGCCGTGAGCGCCGTGTCGTACTTCCTGCGACGCGACTGTGGTGGCTTATTATTATCAATGCCTGACAGTGATGGCAAATGTTCTCGCCGTCATGGAAAAGCTGGTATAAATTGGGCGAACTGGGAGGGGTATGGGTTGGTTAAAGTATGGGATGACCTTGGTGAATTATTTCTTCCATACTGAGTCTAGGTAGAATCAAGCTATTTCACTGACGCTTTTTGAAGCAAATCAATGGCTGCCGAAGAGAGATGTTGCGGCATGTTCTGATACATTCATAGCCTTCCATCAGCGCTTCAGCGACATACATGGTACAGTAACCGAAAGGTGTAGTATACAAAGCTCATATAGCTCATAACCTCGTCACGTCACCCCGAACGGAAGGTATGGGGCAATCGATTGTGGTCTGATGAAGTCGCGCCGCTGACGCTGCGCACGGCCGATCACTTGACAAACGACGCCGGTCATCGGAAGCTAGGATTGGAGGGGGTGTTGAAGGATTATTGATGTAGCATCTCAATCTGGCAGGATAGCTGCCAATAATTCTGTTTCTTGCGTCAATTTCTCTGAAAGTTCGATACCAGGGTTGTTGTTCAGAGAAGTTACTTTTCGAAGCTAAAACAAAAAATCAAACAAAACAGAAACGGTCAATCTACTCATCTTGCTCGTGAATCCCTCATGAATCTTGCCATTGGAATTCCTCATGCTCACGTCCTGATCGATTTGGGGAACGTCCGATCCCATCATCGATGAAACTAGGTGACGCCGCCGCACACGTCGCGCGCGGCGCAGCTCACTGCGATCTCATGGCTGGCACGTTTGAACCGCGAAAAGGTTCCGCGGTTCAAATCATGTTCCCGCGCGCGGGCATGTGAATAAGACACGGTGCTGCAGCACTTCCTCACATTTATGGTGGAGAGTCTTCCTAAATCATCGCATTCCTGCCTCATTTTATAACTCCTCTGTTTTCTTCGCGAAATGATTCTCGACACGCCTTATTTTACTTTCACTTTTTTCTCACTCATATCTTAATGTCATCTTCTAAGTTGTATTTGAGTACCCTCGCGCGGGAAAGTAATTCAAGCTAAAGCATTGCATTGCATATCATCCGAGTGACGATCCGATGCGCCGCGACTTAGTTGCGCGGCGAATCGCGCGGCAAGTGACTATAGAATCGAAGCGCACTCCATCGATTTTGTCAGGTCGGAATGATTATTTGAACAAATTCATGTCTATTCCCCCTATCTACCCTCCAAACGAGAGACCTGCTAGGCTTACTGGATGGTTGATTTAATGTCGATAAATTCGTTTCTGTGGAAAGGAGCATTTGTGTTAAGAAGCTTGCGCAAAAGTCACGTATTTCTGAGAGCACTGTGTGTGATTTCCCGTATGTCCTTCTGCGGAAGCAAACTCTAAATCACCTTAGCTATGTAATACACTGATATTTATAATCATAGTAATCATAGCGATAAAGTATTGCTAGACACTGCGTCACTAACTTTATTTACAGTGGTTCTCAATCTAATAAACTGTAGTTATCATAAGTGGGTAAAAATGTATTCGTGAAGTAGTCATCCAGAACAGAATACTTATAGCATTATTGACAATTTATTTAGGTTTTTATGCAACTACAATATGATTTATGACGTTCTTTCATAGCTTACGTGATCAGAAGTATTTTTAGGAATCGTTTGGAACCTTCTCCCCCCACCCCTGAGGAAATGACGAAGTAGAAGTTGTTGCAGGATATCGACCCTTTCCCGCCTGCAGTGGTCCGAAACTGATTGAGCACCCTTGAGGGTACGTCGAGTACAGTTATGGTTATGATGTACTTGGCTACTCGTTGATAACACTTAGCAATCCTCGAAGTGATACTAACTAAGCGCAGCCCCCACTATGATGCAGCCCGCATACCAAGACCGCAGTCCAGGAGGTCTCCTTCTTGCGCGGCGTTTCCCTGAGGTTTCAGAAAACAGTTAAGAATTGAGAATATGTCCTTCTCATGTTGATTTGAAATAAGTCTTTCGACTTTTTCGACTTTTGTGATGAGGTAATGGCTAATTAAGTTTCGGCCGGCAACCAGTATGCCTACACTCATTGCCAATAGTAAGGAAACTTTGTGAGCTTTTCGACGACGACGTCAAGATCAGGTTCTCTTCATAGTGCAGAGAGCCATAATCAATCGGAAGGGAGGAGTCTGACAAGACGGGATGGGATTCCATCCGAATTCTCACTGCCACTCTCCTAAACCTCTTCGCCAGCCAGCCGGAATGAAAAGGCATGGAAATGAAGTCTGACGATTGACACCTCTGCTTTGCAAACAACATCGTGCTTGTGCATTAAGCCAGTATAGCTGGAAATGGCTGAATCCGACCATCGCAAGATCGGTTTACAGATATAACGAACACGATGCTCGTGGGCAACGAAACGGCCCATAAAGCTCCTTGACATCCAGCAAAACGATCATCATTTATTGTTATCGTAATGGGTATCTAGGTTGAAAAAGCGACGCGATGGGCGACTTAAGTCTAGATAGAGTGGAAGCAACTCGAAGAACGTTTCAGAAAATCGACTGAGGAGTGAAGAAGACGAACGGCATTCTGTTCGTCACCCAGTTTTCGATTCTGAAGCAAAGCATGAAGTCAAAGGGACGAAGAAATGGATACTGCCCTCTGCGTGAACTCTTTTCCTCTTTTTGCTTTCAATTGTTATCTTAGTTCAATAAGCAGAGGTGGCGTGGTAGTAATTGTCGCACTATACACGGGTTCGAATCCCGGATTGATATTAGCCCAAAATACCAAGGCTTTCTATCACTCGACGGTTGCTCCATTGGTACCAGACTCGTCTGAGAGGTGGAAGCACTGACTGTACATTGGGTGCCCGCTGCAGGTCATTGTTTAGGGCATATATGCATTCAAACTCCACTACAATTCTGAGCGGTGGTCGAATGCGGAGCGCATCACCAAATGGTGTCGATCAGCACCAAAGATTCTACACTATTTGTTTTCATTCCAATCTCAATTTTCTTTGCCACAACAGAAATGGCATACTCCAGCATTAGTAATGCTAGACCTGCCTGAAGGCTTATGTAAGCAGCTTTATAGGCCTTTCACGGAGATTATCCTGACAGTGATTAGAGTGATCTTCTCCGCCAGCGTTTGAACTGTGAGTTCCCCAAGCATTAAGGATAATTTGGGATCTACCTGCTTATGAGATCACTCTAAGGAAAGATTATAAGGACAAATTGATTCCGGTGGTTCCTGAGAATTTTTCGGAAGCTTTTTGTACAGAAGAGCCTCAACCGGCTTTCAGCTGTCCTCATCGTCTGGGTCAGCCCACACTAACTTATGACTATATCTTTGTAATAATCAGACCGAAATTAACTTTATTCCGTCGTTACAATGATTTCTACTAAATACTTATCTTTTTTGCCCCATTTGGCTTAGTTGCACTCTTTTACAGTGGCCCCTCACCCCCAATAAAAGGCAAAGTGAGCTTTCTCGCCTCGAGTAACCACAACTTGCTTGTGGCACCTATGTCTGAATTTTCGATGATGCTTTACTTTAAGTGACTCATGAGGTTGTTTTGCTTCTCGAAGCAAACAGCTTCTTTCATCTCCGACCTTGTTTCCGAGTGTACTTGTCTAGTTTAGAGCTAATAAAGCCTCGGGTTTGATTGTCACTTGATGCAATTCGAATGCAAAATGCAACGAAAAACTCGATGGCTATGTCTAGCTCAATATTTTGAGGTCTCGTAAATGAATGCCAACGTTTGGGATTAAGTCCTCCGTAAAATCGCTATTCAGAGGAAGTGGTTTAGCTATTACAGTATAGCGAATGGCTTGATGACTTCCATGTTCCGATTAGGTTTGATGGTTGTTCATGAGAATTCGATAACTTCCATCTACTATATGTCAATCGATGAACAAAAATATCCCACGAAATCAAAAATAAAATTCTAGAAAAAGTATCCTTTTCATCAGGCACATCGCCCTCCGCCCTAATCGCACTTTCTTCCTCACATAGTTCCTTTTAGCAGATTTCTCCTTAATCTCAATGATAGGGCCGCTTGCACTTAGACTGGCACCCTACCAACCTTTACCGATAGTCTTACTGGGAATTCTCTAGCTAGGCCGGTTCCGAAGTAAAAAGGAATTCAGCTGGCATGGCATTTGTCACAGCTTGATCACCGCATTAATCAAAAGAAACAGCTGTCGCAAACTCACCGCGAACTTGATTGAGCATACCAGTAAAGGAATGGAAAAGTAGAGGATGAGATGTGGGGGCACGTAAAACAAGATAGTCGACACTACTGAGGTTGGCAGCACCTCTAGAATAAACATGGGCGTTACGAATCCCCTTTTTGCCAGATTTTAAACATGGGCGTTACGAATCCCCCTTTTGCCAGATTTTTTTCCGCGAAAACGGCAATAATAGCCCATAAATGGCTTTTCCTTCGAAAATTCTCCAGGATTAGTTTCGGGGCAATTCTCAGAGTTCTCCAATGTCTCACTTAATTGCCCTCTAACGAAAAAACGAAGGGGGTGGGGAGAGAGGGGTATTGAAGTGGGCGGGCTCTCGTAGAATTGAATACGGGGAGAAGTATCCTTCACACACAAAACGACCATGGCTGGAACATCAGCAACCACCACTGTTGCCTTACTAATCGTCGCCACAGTTTTGGTAACAGTCATGGCCAGCCGTACAGACAGGTCAGTTACTGTGCTAGAAGTTTTTTTTTCTCTCCCTCTTACAATTTTCTGGAAGTTCTAGGAGGCAATCCTTGCTCGAGAACCTTCTTCGAAGTAGTGCTCTAGTTGGAATTCTGTTGCTTCAAAAGTACGAAGTATGAACGCAGAAGGGTGAACTATCATTAGCTAGGAGAATTTCCTGAGGAAGCTTCCGTCATTTTCAAAATTAGGATCATGAGAGGGGTGGACTAAAGGACTCTGAGACTCCGTAGTTTTTTACGAAACTGAAATAAAAGTAGCCCTCGCAGGCTAAATCCCAGAACTATCATTAAGTAGCTCAACGACATGTTGAGCAGTGCAATAAAGCCGGGAAGATTGGTTTACGGGATGTCCATGAGATTTTATGATGCCAGTGAAAATTCAGAACGTTTATGATATACATCGCCATTTACTCTTCCATAGCAACGTGGAAATTACCCTATTGCACTTAAACCCACAATCACCACTTTGATTCGAGATTCGATTTGTTAGGCTTTGGTGCATAGCCTGAGCCCAATCGATGTGCCACTACTGAACACAGGAACGAAGATTCAGTCCGGCATTCGGCTCTTACAGTAATCCGGCACGTGTTAACACGCAAATTTTTACCCGTCACATATACGACGCATCGAAAAAGGGCTTTAGGCAAGGACGCCAGGGGTTACTGTAAGAGCCGAGTTCCGGACTGAATTTTCGTTTTAGTCTACTGAACGCGTAGCTGTAGGGTTTGCTTAACGAGTGACCTTTTTCTCCCTTTCCCCCAACGCCTCTGCCTCTTTCCTCCCCGTCGTCCCGACAAGTCAGGTCCTACGTCACCAGTATTGAGGGAATAGGAATAGCCTTCGGTCTAAATTCAAGTCTTCAATCTGAGTCGCACGGACGGTAGGGGCAACTCCGGTTACTAGCTTACCCCTCTTATGCCCAACTTAGGTTATAGGTGCCCGAAATCAAGCCTGAACTAAAGCTTTTCTTTTTCCTTATATCGCTGCCATTATATTCGTGAGCTCAATATTGACTTACTTTTTACGACATTACCTAAACTTCTTCTTGCTGAGCGATGAACTTTATGTAGTTAGTCCTCTTGAGATAGACCTCATAGCCGTCCTTCACGGAGTGAATAGGGCGTTTTAATTAACACGTCTCAGGCGGCTCGTGGACATGGTATATGTTTACATTCACCCCAGATAAAGTAAACAGAAGTAATCACTCGTAGATATGCCCACGAGCCAAACTTAGAGCCAGAAATGCAACCCTTTTGGATCTAGATCTTAGGTAACAGTAAAGAGCGATGTTTAGCTGCGAAACTGGTAAAGATAAATGAATCCGGTTGTTGAGGTCTCTCTCAAACTACCAATGTTAGGCCTAACGAAAAATAACGGCAAATTTTCTTTTTCTTACATTTGGTTGACTAGGTCGGAAGGGTTACGGAAAAAGCTGTTCGAAATCGCCTCCTAAATTGACCCAAACCTTTTTGGCTTTCTGCAAGTCCCATATCTTCGGGGAAATAGCATCTTTTGCAACAGTGGATTGCAATTCGCAAGCGGATCTCATCCATCTCGGCTGAATTTAGAATTAAAAAAGTGAATAGGTTCGAAGTGTTTTAAATAGAACCTAATGTTAGACGACGTTTCGTAAATTCCATCCTAGCAAAGTCGATATAACAACAGTTCCCTATTTTTGGTAATTTTGAAAGTGACTGTTCTTCGAGTATGAGAAAAAAACTCGAAATTACTTGAAAGAGGTATAAAAAGGTATATTCACCAGCGATCAATCTTTAAAGGTATTGAGTTCAGGGCAAAACGTCTGGACCTGAATAAGTTTGAAGTTTTCTCTCAAAACCTCATTGGTGTATTTAGCATGATTCAGTAGTACGCCCACCCATATAAAGTGATGATATTATCAGCCCATGTCGGAAGTGAACCACCATCACCGAGTGAATGTGTTTTCTCATTTCCGTAACGGATGAGCTGGCTATTCATAGAAATGCGAAGGATAGCGGAAAGCTCTATTTCCAGCTCTTCACGACAACATCTTCACCTCCATACATGGCATCGTAGTAAACGAAGCTCTGACACATACCATATCCATAGATCGGTGTGGGACCTCAACAGTATAATAGGAAAGTTCTCCTACAGCAAATCATAGAGTTTGGTAACAGTCCCTCACGAACGAACGAACGTTCTCCTGGGGAAACTCATTCCCTCATCCAAAACTTGGTTTGTCCTTGACTCCATTACCTTCTCGTTATGTGATGGATTTCCGTAGAACAGAGATCTCATATCCGCTATGACCATGTAAATATTAAAAACATGAACATATAGGAAATCCTGTGGTGAAAAACATTCCTGAAAATTCGGAAATACGTTCAGAGATGATTTTATCATTCAAAAAATCCCACGCATAACTATAAACACCGTCTGGTCTAGAGCCTTAATTACTCGACACTTCAATAAGAATGAAAAGAAAATGAGTCGTTAGGGAAAGGGGTGTGAGTCTCTTTTAACCTTCAACTTCCTCTCAGAGGCTTGGTACGTTTCTGTTACCGAGCTACCTTCAGATTGGAACAGCTTTTCCACCCTTCCAGACAGGTCTTTAGGAAGTACTACCTAATAGATTTCCGTATGTGCACCACTTTATAAGAGGATGATTCAGTATCGACTTTTGTCCCTGATAACATCGGGAGCTTTGGTCCTCTGAGAGCATCGCGTTGTGATTAATCTGCTTGTGATCACAAGAACCACTTCAGGACATTTGTTTTCCGAGAAGTTAGTCCATTATGCAGCGAATATGAAAAAATGCCGGACCGTGCAAAAATCAAGTAAAAAGCGGAATAGGCCAAAGCTATGGGATTCAAGACTGCACGTACATACGTGACGGTTAACAAATAGACGTTGTCTTCGTGAAATATTTTGCCCAACTCCGGAAAATGAAATTTTCCCTAAAAATATAGTGGTTCAAATAAACCATTTGATTGGGATGGACCAGCCGCCCATTAGTCTTCCAGGATCTGGAGAAGACTTCTTATTGAATTTAAATGACTTTTCTGAAGCTTTTCAAACAGGCCATATTTAATGGAGAGAGTCCAAGCTACGTTGCTAATATTGAAATAAACCTTCGTCTTCAAACCTCAAGTAAAGAGTCAAGCCAAAATGGGGTTACTCCTCCTGATTCCAGGTTAATACGCTTACTGCTCATAGGACAGCGAGTTTCGAGTTTCGAACATTTTTTAGTCCACAAACAACTAGTTTTGTCAATGTGGATTGATACATATTAGTCACTCATAGTCCACCTTTCACAGCATTTTTAAAGATAGAGGTGGTACTCGAGTTTTTCTGGTGCTATTTAATGGAAATGGGTCAAAGAACGGATGTTCTGAGCGTGATGAAAAGGAAGCGAGTATGCTAATGAATAATAAGGATACGAACAAGGGATAATGGAGGACAGCAGTCTTAAGGAAAGCTTCTTTGTCAATGTTCCCGATCTCTTGTACGAGTATCCACATATACATATCCTATCAGTCACACAGCTATGCTCTTCCGTCTCTTTCCAAGCCCTACTATCGCTTCTAACCTTTGTGCTATCCTTACTTCCTTCTTAAGTTCATCCCTCTGTACAATCGAGCCATCTCATCTTACACGATTACTGGAGCTGTCTTCCACGGTATTCCTCTTTCACTTCTATAAAGTTCGCAGTGGGATCATGATATGTTGATTAGTGTAAATGACTCGATATGGATTCTGATCACTGAACCGATAATATATAATAAGGGTAAAGAGATCCTTTCGTAAGAAACTGTCCCTCCTTTGTAAATAAATCGTTTCCAACTTGAGACTAAATGCAATATTATGCAAATTGGCGACCATTGAAGGCCTCTGAACGTGCAGCTGCACTTTCGTGCGGTGCTCATAACCTTACGACTGGTTCTGCAAGATCTTCGGAGAAAGTTTTCCTTTTGAAAAGCTGTTCAATCACAAAGATGACAGCGCATTAAGTAATTTTTGATCAGAGAAAGCAAAAAGGGAGCATCGCGAACTGATTGAAAATGGTACAGGTGGATCAAGGGCAGCGTTCTCTATATAGCCCTTTGTAAGGAGCCCTTTTTTCTATCTTGAATGAGTTGAAAGGAAGTTCGTTTTGGTTGCAATGTAGTGAGCCGCTGGACAGATCGATAACGTATCCTAGATTGAAATCATGTTCTTTGCCCAGAGGGAGAATAGAAATGATCGTTTCAGTGAAAATACGTATTGTGATTGGTACACAAAAATGACAGCGATAAAGTCAGAAAGTTGTCTTCAGTGAAGTCATTTCCGACGATTTTCTATTTTCTGCTCGCACTGAGCTCTAGCAGTTTATTCTGAGAAAATTAGTGCGGAAATTGTTTCCATCCATCAGTCGTGTCTTCATCGGTCAATCCTGAATAAATAAAGAACATCGGTCCTAAAATGCCTTGGAAAAGCCCAGCGATTCCACTTGGGATTGTTCAGTTGTAAATGGTGGGAATTAGGCGGGCGGATAGTACAGAGCTGTACTAATTTGAATATTCAATTAATATATCAGAACAGCCAGTATTTTCTATGGAAGCGAGGGTGGAAGGTTTTTGTCGGAATAAATTTTATATGTTAATAATGGAACATCAATTATTCCTATATGTCCTTCTCGAGAAGTGCAGAGATATTAGAAACCCACGCAATTCAATTTAATCATTTTTTTTTGGGAAAAGTTGAAATTACCTGTGTTTTTTTCTTGAAAATAAAGGAGAAGCCGAAATTACGTGTGTTTTTTATTTCTGAAGAATTTAGATCGAGCAAGAATGGCCAATTTGTTGAAGAACACTTCTGCTTGAGCCAAGTCAGGCCCTTTTATGCTTTGAATGGTTGGAGCTGAAGAAATTTATGATTCTACCCCTTTATAATGACAGCTTACCAAGTTCCAGGGGCTGGGAATGACGTGATTATACATATTACCTGCGTAAAAAGAATAAGTCATAAGTAATGAGCGGTGCTGACAGTTGAATAGCCCCATTCGAGATTTAAAACACATTCAAACTCCGGAATTGTAATGAAGTTCGAAAGAGCATTCAAAGAAGGACGCCGGTGACCAGAAGTCCGGTGATCTCTTACTCGATAGGTGAAGGGTTTAGTGCATCGCAAGGGCAACTTGAAGAAACTCCAGAGAACAGTTCCTCTAGGGACCAGCTTTATCTGATCAACCTAGGTTGAATGTTCTGACAATAGAACAAAGGATCTGAAATAATGCCATATCGGTGGATCTACTATCTTAGTTCCTTGGTTGTTTCAATAATTTCGTGTCACTTCAGATACTCAAACAACGGGCTCTATGGTTACCTCAACAGAGAGCCATCTTCTTATAGGTGAGCATTAGTTTTTTCCCAACATTTTCTTAAATTTGGCAATATTCCTGCCAGTACAACCTTTTACCTCAGTATTTTATGGCTAAGTTTACAAATAAACAAATTTCGAAAACTAATCATAAGAGCTTATGCCAGGGAGTTTCTATGTATATCTCACCTACATCACCTGTCGCGAAGTGATCATCGATTTAGTTATACGTGTAGGACCTACGAAATCGAAAATCATTTTTTCTATATGCTACAATGTTCACTTCAAGCGGTGCAATGCGAAAACATCTTGTTTCCTTGGAATTCGCCGCGTATTTGTACTTGGCGTGGCATTGTAGTAGTGATTGTATGGGATCATGGAGTCCTCGAAGCTGTACGAAGTGAAATAATGAATGGGCTGTCAATATTGTGGCTATGTTTACTTCCTTGTTAGCTGCAGTATCACGTCTATAACAGATAGGGNTTGTTGAAGAACACTTCTGCTTGAGCCAAGTCAGGCCCCTTTATGCTTTGAATGGTTGAAGCTGAAGAAATTTATGATTTTACCCCTTCATAATGACAGCTTACCAAGTTCCAGGGGCTGGGAATGA